GTAGTTATACTTAACACTTTGTGTAGTACTAATTGTAGTTATATTTAGTACTTTGTGTAGTACTAATTGTAGTTATACATAATACTTTGTGTAGTACCAATTATAGTAATACTTAGTACTTTGTGTAGTTCTAATTGTAGTTATACTTAGTACTTTGTGTAGTTTTAATTGTAGTTATACTTACTACTTTGTGTAGTTCTAATTGTAGCAATACTTAGTACTTTGTGTAGTACTAATTTTAGTTATACTTAGTACTTTGTGTAGTTCTAATTGTAGTTATATTTAATACGTTGTGCAGTACTAATTGTAGTTATAGGTTGTACTTTGTGTAGTACTAATTGTAGATATACTTAATACTTTGTGTACTACTAATTATAGTTATACTTAATATTTTGTGTAGTATTAGTTGTAGTTGTACTTAGTACTTTGAGTAGTTCTAATTTTAGTTATACTTAGTACTTTTTGTAGTACTAATTGTAGTTATACTTAATACTTTGTGTACTACTAATTATAGTTATACTTAATACTTTGTGTAGTATTAGTTGTAGTTATACTTAGTACTTTGAGTAGTTCTAATTTTAGTTATACTTAGTACTTTGTGTAGTACTAATTATAGTTATAATTATTACTTTGTGTAGTACTAATTGTAGTTTTGATTTAATACTTTGTGTAGTACTAATTGTAGTTTTGAGTTAGTACTTTGTGTAGTACTCACAGGCAGTGGACGACAGTGCGTCCCTCGCCACCGTCGTACTCGTCCTGCCATTTGTCCACCTGATGGACGAGTTTTAAGAAGGAGCGCTTGGAGACGGGCGTGTCTCGGTACATGGGCCAGCCCAGGAACTGGAACTGCTGGACCATGCGGTACCCGTCCTGTGGCTGGAGGAGAGAGAGAGAGAGGACAGAGGGGTGAGACAGGTGGGACATGTCAACAGGCAGAGAAGAGAGAAATGTGATCTGACAGGGAGGAGAAAGGATTTAAATCAAACACACTCCGAGCTAAATCCGACCTGCCACAACGAGACGGGAGGAGACGGGAAAAGATGGGGGTCTGGATCAAACACAGCCCATATTTGACGAGACGTCGGGAGGATATGAAGAACAAATCAAATGCTGCGGAACACAAACTCAGCCCGACAGGGAGGTGAAGAGGTTTAAATCAAATAGATTCTTGTCTAAATTTGGTGAAACAGCCGAGAAGAGAAAGTTCGGATCAAACAGCCGAACTGAATCATACAGAAACCAAACGCGCCCTGCACACTTGAGGGCCAACAGGGGGTAGAAATCCAAGGCGCCCCAGTGACGGAGGTGGATTAACTCGTTTGATAACCATCAATAAATAACTTGAAACAAGCTAACGGTGCTAGCAGGAAGCTAACAAGCCGAACCCTTGGCTGCTCCAGAGACGCTGAAGTTTGGTCTGAAGAACCTTTTAGGCTGTAGAAGGGCAGAAATGATGCGTTCAGGGAAGCTGGGACTTTAGATCACTCATCCTCAGGGGAAAAGCCACCACCGCATCGAACTGATTAAAAACTTGATTTTTAAAATGTTTTTCTCCACAATAAGTAAAGTTAGTCTTCAAGTTATTCTGAACTATTAAAAGATCAGAGTGAAGACTTTTCAAACATTGATCTTACTTAGCACCAGTTTGAATCTCATGGTGGACTTTAAGTGAACCGTGGACCACCAAGCTGTCGGGCCATCCACCAGCGGTGCCGTGTTTTGGGTCGAGTCGGCTGCTCTCAGCCCCGGAGCGTCCAAACCTTCAGCACGCACATGGATCAGCTTTTTGTACCACATGTCTGGTCGTGCACAAAGCACGTGCGTTGTTGCGTTTGTCTCTTTGGTTTTGCTCCGGACGCACCTCTTCAGGTAAGTTCCCGCCCCTGTGGAGTTACAGCATCCCTCTAACGTAAGAGCATAGCCTCGCCCTGCGTCTAATATCAAAATCTGAAGTACAGATATAAAAACAAAACTTGACTAAAACAAATGTATAATTCATGATCTGGGATCAAAAGTGAATTTATAAAGGATTTCAATGTGGTGTCGACTTTCCTCTCCAGAACACTAGAGGGCAGTAAGGTTAGCGTGCAGTTACCGGAGCGTTTGATTCGGACCGAGTTAAAACATTTTAGAAGGATCTTTAGTCAGGACGTGGTGTTTCCTGACAGCACTGATAGATTCATAAAAACACAAAGATAAAGGTTTGGCTGATGGTTCCCGTTAGAACGTCATCTCAACAAAGTGTGGCGGAAGGTGAAGGTGGGCAGAACAAACACACCCTGGCCGTGTTGTAGATCCTGAAGATGCGGCTGATGACGTCCTCCTCCAGGTCCGCAGAGACAAACTCCACCTGCAGCGAGCCGAGGCGATGGAGGCCGTTCTCGGGCCAGTACTGAGGACACAGCTAGAAGATGAACAGAACTTCGTGAACGGTGTGATTTGTTTTGGTCCGGTCTGTTCTCTACTCTGTTGGCCATTTTAGTTAGCTTCTGCTGCTATTTGTATCTGTACTTCTATTTTATGTTTTCCTGTCTGCTGTGCATGTTTGGTTCTTTTGTACAGCACTTTGGTTGGCCTTGTTGCTGTTGTAAGTGCTATATAAATAAATTGGTATGGTATGGTATGGTATGGTAACTTCACGGATCCAATCGGTACCAACACACCAGGTCCAGATCAACAGGTCCTGTGTTTGTTTACCTGAGCGGGGTCCACGTCATTCAGCATCACGATGGACGTGCAGTGGTAGTCCAGAACCAGACGCCAGAAGTCCTTCACTGTGTTGGGCAAAGGATGCTGGGTAACAATGAATGCCGACGGCTGCTTGTAGCTCTGCAGCCATGAAACACACACACACCATATATGGTCGTTCAGACAACAGGAAGTAATGTCAAACAGGTAAAGTTCTAGTCAGGTGAGAGGTTGGTTTCCATGGCGACACAGTTGTTTGTGATGTTTGTGTTTGGATGTGTCTTCTTGTCTTTGCGTCTTCTTTCATTACGTGTTGAGTCTCTGCTCGTCTTTGTGGGACAGAACTCCAGACCTGGATCTAGGACCAAGAGGTCGGTGTCTTTCTGTCTCACTGAACCGAGGGGCAAGCCATAATAACTCCAAACCATCATGGGAGTTGTAGGCTTACCTACATTTATCACTTCACTACCTCTGAGTGTGTGTGTATGTGTGTGTGTGTGTTGCGTACATCCATCAGTGCAGCGTTAATGTAGTTGGAGCTCTCTCCATCGATGGTGATGAGGAAGGGCAGGCAGCGGTCAGGAGGCAGGACGTCCATACAGCGGTTCTTCTCGTGGTTCCGTGGCAGCAGGGAGATGCTGCAGTCCTCCACACGCAGGGTGGGTGTGACCATGTTCAGGGTCTGAGGGGACATGCAGACAATTAAACATGGAAACGTTTTAAAACATGTAAATGTGTAAACATGTCAACGTGTAAACATGTAAATGTGTAAATGTGTAAACATGTAAACGTATAAACATGTAAATGTGTAAACGTGTAAATGTGTAAACATGTAAATATGTAAACATGTAAATGTGTAAACATGTAAATGTGTAAACATGTAAATGTGTAAACATGTAAACATGTAAATGTGTAAACATGTAAACATGTAAATGTGTAAACCTGTAAACATGTAAATGTGTAAACATGTAAATGTGTAAACATGTACATGTGTAAACATTTAAACGTGTAAATGTGTAAACATGTAAACATGTACATGTGTAAACATTTAAACATGTACATGTGTAAACATGTAAATGTGTAAACATGTAAATGTGTAAACGTGTAAACATGTAAATGTGTAAACATGTAAATGTGTAAACGTGTAAACATGTAAATGTGTAAACATGTAAACATGTAAATGTGTAAACATGTAAATGTGTAAACATGTACATGTGTAAACATTTAAACGTGTAAATGTGTAAACATGTAAACATGTAAATGTGTAAACATGTAAAC